AGTAAAATGAGAAAGGACTGCCCTGTGATAGCAGTCAATAAAGAGTGTAATCAGACCAACACAGCGATATACTGTTTATACTGTCTCAACTTCCTCTCACCTGCTAACCTCTCCTCTGCTTTGTGTGAGTCCACAGGTTTAGCTGCTGGCTCTTTGGAGGAAGTCACCCCGTCTGTGGGCCTCCTCTCCGCTGGCTTCGGGGTGCTGGTGCTGCTGGGAGACTTTGGTGTTTTTGTTGGGGTCTTAATGGGGGACTTGCTTGTGGTTGTGGTGGTAAGTGGTTTCAACGCTGGGCGGTTTCTTGCTGAGCTGGAGGCTGCTGGTGAATTTTTCATGCTTAAGGGAATAAGAAATAATATAAATTGGAGATGTTAGTAGTATAATACAACTGTTTGTCCTGGTGAAGATGGTGACAGTGTGTGTTAAGGCACAGGCTGTGTGTGTGTTCTTACCTTTAGAGCCTCCTCAGGCACAGTGAGCTCTCCTCTCACCACCGTGAACAAATTGGTATGTGAGACAGACAGGTTAAGGAAACACTAGCCATAATAGCACAATTATGATACATGTATATTCAAGCAATAGCTCACGACAGGCCGTGGTATATGGTCATTATACCGCTTCGCGTCGGGCCGAACCAGGCCCCCTAACTGTGATATAATCATCATATATCACGGCCTGCAGTGAGCTATTGCTTTTATAAAATGGTTACCAAGTGTGGCAATATGAAAGAAAAATACACACTCTAATTGAAATAGTTTTTTCTGAACAAAACATACACTAATGCAACAACACTAACAGCTAGCAAACATATTAGACAGAGAGCGCTCATCGATTATTTGGCTATTTATTTATATTCAGTATGTTGCCGTTTATTGTGCAGCCACTGAAAAACTGTCCAGCATCAGTAGCATGGCTTACGTGGTCACTTGTATAGGTTGAGGTTGTTCGAGGCTGTTGCTTGGCGTGGCGAGAATATTGCTCCACTTTCTCCGCTCCCCGAGATTGGGCTTCCAGTAGCTCTGGAGAGAGCTTTCGCACCTGTGGCCACTAACGGTCATAATTTCTCTGCTTTGTTTCAAGACCCGCATCAGAAAGTTTTTGAATGGTGCTACTTTTACAGTTGGTCTACCTGCTCTTCACGTAGCTCTGCATGTCGTCGTTTAGGTTTTTTTTTTCCTGGAGATAGGCACTGCTCAATCCACTTAAATGTTTCCATCTTAAGCTTTGTTAGTTAGTTAGTTTCGTAACGGACGGACGTAGTGTAACGGTTGTTGCTTTTCTCAGACGCGGAGGGATACATGACTTGTGAAAAGTAACTACAATTCTACCCGTGATATACGCTCATTATATCACGGCTAAGAACCAATCAGATTGCTTGATTTGACTTGTCCGTTTTATAAACAAAGATATACTATATATATAACAAATAACACAGAGATGCATAGAACCATTTAGTACTGCAAGCTGTAAATGATTCTATTGTTATGCAGAACTTTTCAAAAAAAGCATCTACGTATTATTTGACTACCTGAACTGCTCAGTGAAAAGTTAAAGGATATCATATCCAAACCGCAGCTTGTCCTCCAACTTCAGAGTGATGTACATCTGCTCCTGGATGCGGACATCATTAACAAAGGTCTGCAGGGGGAAAGACAAGGCAAGACAAAAAGAAGATGGTCATTTAACAAAGGTAAGCATGTGATTAAGGTCTTAGTATGCATGATGCCAACAGTTGATCTGATCCTGGTGTCTTTTTTAAATCAGTCTGCATAGCCAGGACTAAAGGCCTTAGAACTACACTGCATGTCTTTCCCTGCCTGTTTTCATTCCCATCTATTACGATCGCATATTCCCATTCCCCCTTTGAGCCCTCCTTCTATCATGCAGCTCTGAGACAGATCAGGTTTCACTGAACTGCAAGTGAAACTCTATCATACACATCTTGCACTGCTGTTGTAATAAAAACATTCCTGCCTCCTCTCTGGTGAGCTGAGTCCATGAGAACTGTACAACCCGTCTTTGAAAACATCAGTAGAGAAGTAAAGGGTGACAATCCTCAACACACAGATTTTCTTTCTCAGAACTCTGACAAATCTGTTTATATACGCTGACTCAGCAGGAAAACACTTCCTCTGAATGCAGTCAAAGAAGCTGAATGGTTAATGACACAGCAGGAAGGAGCTCTGACTCCCACTTCCTGTCGGAGAGCTGGAGAGGATGTGTCCGATCTGTTGGGCTGTGACTGCTTATCACTACACATGACTAACAGCATGTGGCCACTGTAAACAGGTTTCACTGCACACATTCTACATGTGTCCAAAACTACTTAGAGGGTAAGAGACTGCAGTAGAAAAACGACAATCTACACCCATTCATGTCTGTTCATTAAATATGAAGCTACAACCAGGAGGATGTTAGCTTAGCTTAGCATAAAGCTCAAACCAAAGGGAATCTACTAGCCTAGCGTAACATCTGTAAAGCTAGCTAATACAAACATTATTTGGTATCCTGTGTAATACATAATACGAGTTTTCAACTAAGCCGTGCAATAAATAATAATAAAAACTGACACAGAGGACATTTTGCTGTACACTACATACTTTTACTTTGTAAAGTGTTTTTTTCTTTTTCTACCAAGTCAAAGAGCTCATTTGTGTTTTGTATGTTTAAGATACATAATTCTATTTACACGGGGACTATGGTCTAAGACAGTCCAAAAATATGAATCAACATGAACAACTCTCAAACCAAATCCCAAAACTAGAGTGTGAACTGAAATGTGTGATATCAGTATAAAGTCTGGTTGTGCTCTAGAGACAATGAATTGGGAAAGATGTTGGCGATGACACTTACAGCACCCAGGGGACTCTTCTGGGTTTATTGGTAAATGGTAAATGGACAGTACTTATATAACGCTTTATCCAGTCTTCAAGATCCCTCAAAGCGCTTTACATACTACATGTCGTTCACCCATTCACACAGAGCAGTGTACCTTACTCTGGACCTAGCATTCATACACATTCACACACCGTTGGCCATGCCATTGGGAGCAACTCAGGGTTAAGTATCTTGCCCAAGGATACATCGACATGTTGACTGCATGGGCTGGGATCGAACCCACAACCTTCTGGTTGAAAGACGACCACACTCCCTCACAGCCACAGTCGCCCATTTCCTGTTTCACAACTGAGACCACTACAGAAGAACACAGCTCATGTTGGTATGAACAAGAAAAAAAAAATGCACTCTCAGTTGATTCACAAAAAAACAAGAAACAAAATATGGGTAAGATGTTGCTCAAACCGCCCCTTTCACAATATTGCTTTTGATAATCAGCTGAAATTCCATTGCTGGTATTCCCATTTTACCAAATCATGTGATAACAGTAACATTAGTTTTAGTTTCCCTTTGTTTAAAGGTTTTGCCCTAAAGTGGTGATTTGCATAATTAGGATTAGATTTGTATTGACCTCAGCCGTGATACACATCTTCATTAACTGGGAGATTGATTAGCAGCAGTAAAATAAAAGATCCTATTGACTGCCAAAAAACATTAACCTCTAACCCTCAGCTCTCTACCCTTCAACGTCCTTTTTTCTACCTCCTGATTTCTCTCCGTCTTTGCAGTCACTATCTGTCTCTCTCCAAACCTCTTTATTCCACCTTCGGCAGGTTAAACTCTTATCTCCCCTCATCCATCATGTGACCTCCTTCTCTCCTCCATTATTTTGTCATCTTCTTTGTTTGGTTTGTTCCTTTATTCTCTCCTAAACGCTCTCTGTTTTGCATATTTCTAAGTGTGTACTCACCCCATTCAGGCTGCCCAGGTCCTTGACCTTGTGTTCGTCTGTCCCAGCCTCATAGTTGACGACCGCATGCTGCTTATCCACGCTGCGGGACTTCAAACACAAACAAACAAACATGTAACCAAGCGGTAACTTTTGATATACTGTTTTTCATTACTTTATTGTAGGTCTCAGACATATACAGAACCTGTCTCTGATTGGCTGAAACACCAAACAGATCATTGCAGCATTACCCATAATCCCCTCTGTTTCAGCCCTGTTTCAAAAGTGCTGATTCTCTGTCTGTTACTTTAGATGAAAATAAGGAGCCCCTCCCCACGCCCCTCTGAGAGATATTTGGTTACTAAGAACACAATGGTGCTCTAGGAGGAGATTCAGGTGATAAGTTGGGGGGGGGTTGCCTTGGTTGGTGATTGGCTAATGGTTACACAAGACAAAACATCGTTATGACATCATAAAGTGGCCAAAATCTGATCAGCTCATTTTCAGACAGGTTTTTATATAAATGGATCAGGACAAAAAGAGAGAATCTTTTTTCCTGAAACTTCCAGAGTCTCTTTACACAGAGGGGACGCATGTTTATGTATAAAACATGAAGAAGTGGATTTTGCATAATAGGTGACCTTCAATAGTGCTTATTTTTCAAAATGTCTTCAGACTGCTCATATGGTTGCATGTGCTTCATCAGGACATCAAACATTGTAACCTTGACCATGAATGTTTCTTAGAAAAATATTAAAGGCTGTGACTGAAGAAGAATGTGAAGGTAAGTGCATCCAATTCCTAGAATGTTTTTCTGATAGTGATCCTCAATGTAACTTTGTAGTATATCTTCTAAGATATCAACGCGATGCATATCAGAAGGTATTTCAATGTCGCTGACACAGCACAACGCACACAACCACAAGATATTGGTTTGCTACGGTGTTCAGGTCAGCTGTTATCAGGTTAAATAGTTCTAAGCACAAACAATGTATGATGAAAATAGATGGTGTTCTCCTCAGATTAAAATGTATGTATGAACAGTAAGACATTCATTTTTAGGTTTTTAGTGATACGGTCATTATTATTATTAGAAAATACTGGATTTGAAATTTCAGCCTTCTTTTTTCCACCCGTGACCAAACAGGGATAACATGCAATAAATATGGGATATGACGTCCATCAAGTAATTCCTTTAACTGTTCTGATGTGTTGTGCAACCGAGTCATTTTGCCTCACTCATGAATCACACATTTTAAACAGCTTGGGGGTAAAAGTAAAAAAGATAAAAAGTTATTTTCGCAGCAAGATTCAGGCAAAAATAAGACTATGATGCTGAAGTCAGTGAATGATTTTGAAAGCTCAGCTGGAATTGATCTCATACTCAAATAAAAAAAGCTCTAGAAAATGGCTGATTTGTTGCTGAAGTAAAGCCAAGGGAAGCAGCTTTAGAGAGCCAACCGTCAAACAGATTATCTTAGTGAGATTAGGCTAGATCAAACAGGATAGAAACCAACTGATCTGCTTGTTGTACCTCTCAGCGCAGGATGTAACAGACTCCTGTAGTTACACACCGATAAACCGCTGAGTTGACTTACTGAATATGTTCAGACTGGGCAACTCAGAATACAGATAGCTCAACGTAACTAAAAGTGAATACATTTGAGGTCAAAATAAAAACTCCCAAAATGCACTTGTTTGAGTTGTGTTAATTAAATGCAATCAGAAAATCTAATACTGATAACAAGAAGAGGAAGAGATGAAGACATTGAGAAACATTTGATTTACCAAGGAAACAAGAACACACAAACAGAGGAGTAGAGCTGTGAGACAGAGGATATCATTCTGGGAGACAGAAATTAGACTGACATCATGGAGACTGTGTACCTGTATTTATTACACTCCTTCCCCTTTTCAATACATACATAAACACAGTCAAATCCAACCTGCTCACAAGGCCAGAGGTTGTGGTCAGTAGCAGATAATTCTACAAGCATTTAGTGTGGTATTCTGTTTGTGAGTGAGAGTTTTTTATTTAACCTTTGCCATGTGATCAGGCCTTGGCGCGCTTAAGCAGTCACATGGAGGACAACTGTGAGCACTGCAGCTATACAAAGTGCCACACACACACACACACACACACACACACACACACACACACACACACACACACACCTGAATTTGGAAGATTTTCCTTATCTTTCTATTAGTATCTCTACTAAAAGACATCACAAGGGTAGGAATACAAGGACACACA